AAATTGATGCTTTTCTTGTGGAACAATTAAATCAACCAGACCCAGTTTATACCTGGAAACGCTGGCCAACACTGTACAGCTATTGTGAATCTCTATTTGAGAATGCTACAAGAAGAGGCTACAGATTCTTCCTTGGATGTAAGCGCTTTGGTTTGCAAGGGGCAAGGGAAGAAATTGCTCCATTAAAGTCATACTGCAATCCTGGGCCTTCCATATCTACACTAGATAGTAGCAAGCAGCCTGCCAAGTTTAATCCAGGGACACATTTGAACAACTTAATGTTACTGTTAACTTTACTTGATTCCCTTGATGGCATACCTTGTATCCAGTCAGCAGGTGTAATGAAATACTTGTGTATTATGCATTATGATGGAATGCCACTTAATATTGGCACATTTGCACGCCAAGAAAATGGAYAAACATTTTTTGACGRAATTATCCCMTCAMTAAGCCTMGAGAAAATGAGGGAACTTTATGAAGGTGGAAATAAAACTGTACATAAATATATATTAGAMAACTGTTCCTGGATTAGTGAAGTTAAAGAATTTGATTTGTGTGATGCCTCAGGAACAATCCATGTTAATGTTTCAACAAATTTTGGCCATGCTGGTGGTGACAGCGACGAAGTGATGAMAGAAATAAGAGATGTCCTTAAAGGCATCAGCTCTTGCAGCAACTGCTTTTTTTCTGCCATGCAGAAAATTCTACGCATCCATCCTTGCAAGAGCCATGCACACAATGCACATCAAGTGGCAGTGATTGTTGTGTTAGTGTCTTGTGTATCCATGTGTCCTCAGATCAAGCTTCTGCTCAGTGAAAAGCACATATGGAAATGAATCAAACTGCTGAAAGGGACTTACAGAAAGAAAACTATACACATTTTGGATTTGGCCTGGTGCATTTCTGTAAGAGCTGCATTTCATCACTGAGGCATTACAGGTTAACAGACTCATCAGAAAGTTTTTATGTTGGACTTTTGTCTGCAGTATGGGCCTCAAATACATCTGAGTCATCAAAAATGAAGAAAACCACACCTGCCACTGTGTTCTCCTTTAGAGATGCACACAGCGATGAGATTTGCTATCAGACCGTTTCTAGTGACTTAGAGGATGTTTTGAAGGAAACCAAAGCTGTTGTAGCCACCCTTGTTCCTGAGCAGTACAAGCCGACTGCTATTGAAGCAAAAAGTCATAGTATTCTAGGAAGGCCACTCTATATAGCCAGCAATGCAAATGGAGATATTCTTTGGACAGGTATGTAACAATTAGTATAAAAATTTATAGCCCAGTACATTTGAGCTCAATCCTATTTCCTTAAACATTGAACATTGATTTAAGTGTTAATTAATTGTTGATATTCATTCTAAATTCAGATGCTGAGTATGAATTTGTTGGGATGGGTAATAGACACATACCTACCAAGTGCATTGCTCTGTGTCAATGGGATAAGCCAGGTAAATATATATTGCATAGCMACTACATGTACATTGTAGTTATTCATTGTGTTTGTTGTGGCCCCTCCCACCCCCCAAAACCTCTCTATCTGGCTTACATGTAACAATGCATAAAGCAACTGGTTGCCATAAAAATTAGTGAAGCTATGCAAAATTATTATTGTGTATTACTATAATATACTGTATAATACAGCAATATGCAGAAATTATGATCTTTTTTACTCATGTTATTTCTGATATATTTTATATATACTGGAATGTGACCAAAAAAGATCATAATTGCTGCATATTGGTGTATA